TCTCCCTCTTCTCCATGCTCTCTGCAGTAACAATTCTAATCTGAGTGTTACTCTCTAGTTTAGCTTTACAGTCGTCATTCTGGGATTTTCACTTTACTATCATGATGAGAATTCTTTGTCACTTGTTATTAGACCACATGTCTCTTTTCTTTTTCATTTTCCTTGTGGTAGCTTTTTGAGAAAGGGCACACGAGAGGTAAGTTTTTTCAGAACTTGTATGTCTGAAAATGTCTTTATCCTAAGCCCCTGCCTACTTGTTTTAGCTGGATATAGGATTCTAGGATGCAATTTCTCCAAATATGGAAGTTACATTGATTATTTTCTAGCATCTATTGTTGCTATTGAGAAGTCACATGACAGTTTGATTCCTGATCCTTTTAATGTGATGTACTTTTTTTTTTTTTCTTCTTCCCTGGAAGATTTTAGATTCTTCTTTTTTCCACATAGTGTTCTGAGTTCATGATGCTGGTGTTGAAGGCCATGGCCAGGCCTTTGCTAGGCTGATGGTGCAATAAGAAATAAAATGAGAAGGGATATCGTTACTTTGCAGGAGCCTGGAGTTGCACTGTAGGCTTGTAGGTGGACCCTGCAGTGTTGATGGGGCCCTACTCCCAGTCTAATGTTGGAAAGTCGACATGCCAGTGCTTCTTCCCTTGGCCCTTCTCACCTGTAGGTTTCTTACTCTGTAGGCTGTGTTTGCCTGCAGACTCCAGATGCTCATGTTATGAAGAACTAGGGGAGCACCAGGGACCTACATCCACTCCATTGTGTCCTCGGCTTTAGATATATATCCTTTGCATGGGTAAATAATTTTGCCAGGTAAAAGTTTCTCATTTTAGTTATACACTATGTAATAGAATGACATGGTGGCTTCTAATGTAATTCTTGTTGCCCATTTATTCTTTGGAAACAGTGTGTGCTAATCCTTCCTGAGGAACAGAGTTCTAATTTCAGTTCCATTCAGCACCTGAATGGTCATGTCGTAACAGATAGGTAGATGATAGACAGATGTTCACTTGTTCTTTTTAATCTACTGAGTGTTTTCAGGCCAAGTTTTTACAATCAGTACTGGTACTAAACTCTTAAGTCATTATTAAGGGGGCTGTTTATATTGCTGTGGGCAGAGTTAAGGGAAACTAACTAGATGTGGTGCAGTCCTCCAGGCTGGCAACAGAAACTGGTACTTTAGCTGTCCTGGACGTGAAGAGGTAAGGAGGGGGAGAGATTACCAGAAACTGTTGAGATGGGCTGTGTGGGAGAAGTCTGCTAATGAGAGCTATGGCTTTGGTGAAGAGCCATAGTCAACAAATGATAGTCTGACAAGGAGGAAGACAGCAGAATACATGCCCAGCCCTCACCATCCCACCCTCCTGTCTCCTAGTGTCTGCCAGTAGGGGTTGAACCCACCTGGAAGCCAGATAGCAAGGGCATCCTTTGGTGGAAGATGGTGAGGAGGTGAGTGGTGAATCACCAGCTCAGTTAGGTTTAAAGATGTTCTTGGAGCCTAGGGTTATTAGTTTTTGTTAAGAAGAAATGTGCAATTGGAAGGGCTAAGTGTGACACTCATGGACAGATCCCGCCTTTCAGGGAGTTGATCATCTTTTACTCAAATATTAGAAGTTAGTTTGCAAGTAACTAACTTTTATGTTTTCTTTAGAATGTTAACATCTACCAGTCTTACTGTTTATTGCTAAACCTACCCATATTCTCCCTTCTATTCACTGTGAATTCCCTATGACTTGCTAACGAATACCGTATTTTTTCTGCATATCTGTCAGCTTTTATAGCAGCCTTATGCAGCATCTTAGCGATTTCATATTTATTCTACATTCTTCTCATTTCTGTTCAAGATGAATATGTACTCATTGCCTGGTACAGAGTGATTGTAATAATTTCTCCCTCTCGAGGGAAAGCTCTCAGTAGTTGCTTTTCTCTGCAGCCTCTTTTACTCAGAGCTGTTAACTTTGTTTTGATCACAATGTCCTGCTTTTAATGGTGGGTATTTTTGTTTTTAGGTAAGTGACAGTTTGCTCTTTGATACGTCAGATGATGAAGAGCTGAGAGAACAGCTGGATATGCACTCAATCATCGTCTCCTGTGTTAGTGATGAGCCCCTCTTCACGGCAGACCAGGTATAGAGGAGATACTCAGCAACGCAAGGAAAGGAGACTCTAGAGCTGAAAAATGGCTTCTTATTATGACAGTAAATGATGGCTGTTGGTTTACTTATCTTTACTATTTTTTTTCTGGTTATACAGGCTTAATAGTTAACTCTTCCACAGAGAAAAATAAGTATTTGTGACCTGAAGCAGAAGGGGGATTATGTGAGTTGGGAAGATTTCCAACATAGGCCTTGTTGAAGGAGTATAGCAAGGTACCAAGGAAAGGTTATTGCTTAACCCCAAACCAGGAAAATATTGTGAATTTCCTTGTTCCTTTAGATTTACCCAAACATGGACAAACTGTAAAGTATCTGTGTAGAAATTGTTTAGTATCTTCGAAACCCTGGGTAAAAAGCATTCGCATGTATTAAAGTAACATATTGTGTGCCCCAGAAAGAAGTGAGCATTATTCCCGTGGAATGTGCTAGTAAGATCAACCCCGTATTCACTTAAAACCAGTCGAATCAGCTTTCTCATTTTCTGAATACTCTTCCCACCTCCGTTGTATTGTTGAAATGTGATGCCAGAACTTCTTCCTGAAATAAAATGTTCCATGGCTACTTGGACTGTGAATTCTACCACACTCTATTTTTAGGCTGGAAAGACAAGGTCAGTAAGGAGATACATTATGGCAAGCTTGGGAGGAGTACATTAAAAATTTACATTAAAATTGTGTTATTTGGATCCTCCGTAGTCTTATTTGTGGTTGAATTGTTCTAGGCGTGGAAAGAATGTGGTGCTTAAAAAAGCAAGGTAATAGTAGGTTGGAGGGTTGTTTTGAGGTGGAGGGTAATCTAGGGATAGACACGACCTTGAGAATTCATTGTCCCCTCACTGACCTGCCTAATACCATAAACTCTCCCTGTTTTTCAGAGCTAGAATAACAGATTCTGTAGGATCCTTGAGTGGCTCATTGTGCCATATTATATTGCCTGTTTTGGAGACCCTTATTTAATTAGCATAATCCCATCTCCTTCAGATTTGCCTTTATTTTTCCTTGGTGGAAATGTTACCTGTTAAACTTTTAATTCATGAAGCATGGTAAATATGCTCATGATGTCTTACTCTTTCATTTAATTGTATTTAATTTTTTTTTTTTTAACTTTAGCTCCTTTTTTCTAACTGTTGAGTAATTTTCCTGGCTTTCCTTTACATTTTCGCTGAGTTCTATATCCTTCTCAACTTTTAGAATCAACAGGGCAAGATACTGTCGTAAGATTTAAGCAGCATTGTACTAGACAGTAGATCATTGTTTCAAGGCAAATTGTGTTTCTGAAGTTTTTCTGCTTTTCACAGCATTTTTCTCTTTGGACTTCTACTTTTTAAGTAATTAAAAAAATCCCTTTATTTTTCATTGAATTAACGTATAAAATTATTTTTCTGCTGTTGAAAGAATATTTTGCTGTCGTGGAGGTCATTTCCCATTTATATATAATTTTTTTGTACTATTGTATTTTCTAAATTTTATGTCAGAATTTTTGATGAGATACGTTTAAATTGAGCACTTGTATGTCTACGGTAAATTTTCTGTTATTTGCTTTCTTCTAACGATTACTCTATGATCTGGTTCTGGCGTGTCTGAAGTAAATTATTATGTGTTTGTAGCACGATTTCCTAGACTTTGCAAGACATGTTAGGGCCTTCTGAACCATGATGGACATAGTAAATCCAACTCTATTTAGGTTTGTGTTTAGTATAGTGTAATTTTTTCTTGATAAACCATGTTCACTCCTACAATCAAAATTTTGATTATTCAGAGCATCCACACCTGAACATCATTGGTTAATGGAGAATTCAGTGCATTTCTGCTCTGGGTGCCTTAGGTGAGCACCGTGTTCCAGCTAGATCATTTTCCTTTTGTTTATTTGATTAACAGTGGTATGTATGTTTTCGAAGGTTATTGAAGAAATTGAAGAAATGATGCAGGAATCACCGGACCCAGAAGATGATGAAACCCCCACACAGTCAGATCGGCTTTCAATGCTTTCCCAGGAAATTCAAACTCTTAAGAGGTCTAGTACCAGCAGTTATGAAGAGAGTAAGGGAGCCTGCTTAAATCAATGATTTCTGTGCTTTTTGAGTATATCAACTATATAGTATGATCGTCTCCAGAAAGCTTTGATTTAATCCTCCTTCTGTTTGTGTCTGTGTCCAGATTTACTTTTTTGTTGTTGTTGAGATGGAGTTTCACTTTTTGGCCCAAGCTGGAATGAAGTGGCGTGATCTTGGCTCACTATAATCTCCGCCTCCTGGGTTCAAGCAATTCTCCTGTGTCAGCCTCTCAAGTAGCTAGGATTACAGGTGCCCACCACCACGCCCGGCTAATTTTTATATTTTTAGTAGAGACGGAGTTTTGCCATGTTGGCCAGGCTGGTCTCGAACTCCTGACCTCATGATCCACCTGCCTCAGCCTCCCAAAGTGCTGCCATTACAGGCGTGAGCCACCATGCCCGGCCCCAAATTTCCTCTTATAAGGACAGCAATCATATTGAATTAGAGTCTATCCTAATGACCTTATTTTAATGTCATTAAAGACCATATCTCCAAATACTGTAACATTCTGAGGTAGTGGGATTAGGACATCAACACATGAATCTGGAGAGGACACAATTGAGTCTATAACAAACCCCATCATATTTGAAGTGTAGAATAGATATTCAGTAATTCTTTGTCAAATGCAATTCCTGTCTATACAAATAGTCTTATGTGTTACTGTGAAGAATTTTGGGAACCATGGATCTGTTTGACGTATATGAGAATAATTAATTCTAGAAACTCTACAGTTGATTTTCATGAAAAGTTTCTGAATAATTATAACCAGCCTGTGAAGAGCCTGAGACCGGTTGGAAGGAAGGTGTGTATCTAATCATTGCCATATGACTGGTCTCCTCCTTGAGTAGGCAGTGACAGAGTCTGTATCTGCTCAACCCGTGTTGTCACCTAGTTTTATCTTTATGGCATGCCCAGTCCGAAGCTTAGTTACCTAAAGAACGTTGGTTGTATGGCTTCAACATACAGATGGTCAGACAGACCAAAGTCTTTCAGATGGTCTGATTTGACCATGCTTCTGTAGATATGGGCTAAATGGCGTTAAGGTCCTGACTCCCAAATACAGTCCTGATACTTGATATAGATACTGAAATCTGTATTGGTTCGCTAGGGCTGCCAGAACAAAGTACCACAGGGTGAGTGGCGTAAACCACAGGAATTTATATTCTTACAGTTCTGGAGGCCAGAAGTCTGAGATCAAGGTGTTGGCAGGTTTGGTTTTTTTCAGAAGCCTCTCTCCATGACATGCAGATGGCTGCCTTCTCCCTATGTCTTCACATGGTCTTTCTTCTGTGTTCTGGTCACCCTATTTTATAAGAATACTGGTCATACTGGGTTAGGGCCCATCCTAGTGCCCTCTTTTAACCTTGTTTTACCTCTTCAAAGACCCCCTCTCCACATTCTGAGGCCCTGTGGGTTGGGACTTTAACAGTGTCCTATCTCTCACATGGGGAGAAGTGCTGAGAAAAGACTGAAATGGGGTTTCAGGGAATATTGTTCCCCTTTGTCTTCCCAGTTGTTTAGTCCATTCTCGTACTGCTACAAAGAAATGCCTAAAACTGGGTAATTTATAGGAAAAGAGGTTTAATTGGCTAATGGTTCCGCAGGCTGTACAGGAAGCCTGGCAGCATCTGCTTCTGGGGAGGCCTCAGGGAGCTTTTACTCATGGTAGGAGGCAAAGCCGGAGCAGGCATCTTCACATGGCTGGAGCAGGAGGAAGGGGGCCTGGTGGAGGTGCCAC